TAAAGTCTCCTTAATGGTCTCCAACTTATTTCTGTAAAAGACTCAGTAGAAGTATCTCTCCCTAGGCCTTCTTACAAGGGAGTTCAGAACAAGACAGGCATGGGTCAAGAAACAAAACTGATACCCACCCAAAATGGCATATGACTGTCCAATTTTAATTTTTTCTTTTATTATTATTTTCAGACACCAGCATGCTCTAGGAATACTGGTTTTTCTTTTGTTAAAGAAAGAACAATAAGCCTTGATATAGCTTTAGAAATAGCTTTAGCTTATCATTATCTTTATAGTTACTGAATATACACCCCTGTACGTGCTTTGCACAATGTATATATGTAATTTGGAAAACAATAAAGTTAGGCATGAGCCCATCAAAAAAAAAAAAAAAGAAATAACTATATATAAATAATTAAATAATAAATACAGTATGTCTTAATAATATTATCAAAACTTAAACTTTTCATCAAAGAAATATTTTTTAAATTTCTAATATTAACCATACACAAAATTTCAACAAATTTTCCTAGTGTACAAAAATGCATTAAAAAAATAACTTATAAATAGAAAGAACTAATCTATTATAAATAATCAAACCAGTATTATATCTTTTAATAATAAAAACAAACAATAGGAATCAATAAACAAATAAAAAAATAATACAAATATATAATAAAAGTTTAGTAAAATAGCAGATGGATCAATAAACAAGCCATTAAAGATAATTATATTACCACTACTAATTAATATTTGAATAATTTTATTAAATATATATATATTTTTTAATTGCTAGCTCAGCTATGTTTATTAATGATAATAGAATAAATTCAAAATACATTAAAATTATTACAACTATTAAAATTGCTATTAAACTTCCTAAAACCTATCAGTTTACTAAAATACATGTTGCTGCTTTAAACCTGAGGAGACTAATCTAAAATTATTTTTAAACTAGTGTAAAAATGAAAATAAAAATACCAGGATACTGCTGGACGAGGACTTAAATTTTCTCTACTATTGACCATCTACTGAAGCTAATATCAGGGAGAAGTTAACACCTATGGATTATCCACTAGAGTACTGTAACTTATAATCTTTGAAAGAAAGAGAGAAGGATTTCTTCTACATTTTCTTCTTCTTTAAGATAGAAGGGGAATGGTTTTAGAGGCCAGCTTTATTGATACTATCTCATCTGGAAGTCTACCTAGAGAACTACTTATTCAAAGATCAGGTAGGACCTACGGTCAGGAGAGTGCCTTAAAACCTATGAAGGGGTTGATGATCCAATTCTAAAGATAATATCAGCTTCAAGCATATGCTACTTATTTAAAAAGGCGCAACTCTTCCAAAGTTAGACTAAGTCTTTAGGAAATCTTTCAATCTGGCAATAGTTTTCAACAAGTACTTTCACTAGAAGTAAGATTGGTGGATATCATTGGTGGCTGAAGTAGCCATACTTGAGGGGAGTTATGTTGAAAGTCTTGATATTGGTCTTCAGTTTGTGATCCTCCCATAAACCATGAATCAGAAATAAAAAACCTGCCAGCTGAAAAAAACCTTTTGTCCATTTTGTTTGTTTTTTATAAAAATTAAATAGATCTTTCACTATCTGTAAGAACTACTAGAACCTACTTGACTACCAAGAATAGGTAACTTCAATACTAAAAACAATTGAAGTATCTTGTAACCTTTACCATAGTTGGATAGACCCTTTCTTTTCTCAATTTTGTTGGAGGATGCAGTTTCAACAGATAGGCCTAAATATATATGGTCCTTAAAGTGCTTATACTGGATTAAGTTAATGACTGCAGTGAAAGCAACACCTATCTGCAAGGGTGGTAATACGAAAAGAAACATGTGAAATATGTATATATCTTATTTATCTTTTGTTACTGATGGTTTATCCAACTCCAAATCTCTAGCCAATGAAATTCTAGCAGATCTGATGTAATCAAAAATTCAGGGTCAAAGGATGTAGGCAAAATTCCCTAAAAAAACTGAAAATTTGTTTACACATTTCAGGAAGCTTGGGGTCTAGTGAATTTCTTAGAGAACAAGACCACTGCACATGGCATAGCCTTTGGTGAATACTCTTTCTATAAACCTGCCTGTCCTATTATAGAGTCTTGAAGAGGAGTCTTTAACCGAAAGTTTTCTTCCTAAGTATTTTTTCTTGCTATTAGGAATCTAGGTTCTATTTTATTCACTTTTGACTTGAAACTGATATTCAAGTCAATCAGGAAAGCGAAGAAAAGATGAAACTGGGTAGGAGATGATTTGTAGTATGTTTATAAAGTGTATTTAATGATAGTATAGCAAATTTATTAGTATAGAAGTATAAAACTTCTGACGAATATTGCTTTGGAATTATTGATAAAATTGATCAGCGAAAAGAGTGGTATGATAATTTTATTAAATATATCACTTATATTAAGTTTATAAATAAATATAATATAAGTTGGTTATATTATAAAAGAGTCTATAAATTATTATAAATTTTATTCTAATTTCTCAATAAAAATAAACTATTATAATTTTATTATAATTATAAGATCTGTAAATTAATAATATAGTAGTAATATACTCAAGTCATAATTACAAAATTTATAACTCAATATTATTTAAAAATCAAAAATTCAAATTTTTTTTTATTAGATTTACTGGTTGTTCTATAAAGATTATATTCAATTATTTAGATCTATTAAATAAAGTTAAACTGTATAAATATAAAACTTTCAACTTTTCATTAATTAGAGATTGAGATCACAGTTATATTACTAAAAAAATAATATAAAAAAACTTTTGATTTAACTTTCATAAATATATATAGATTCTTTATTTTTGATAAACTTTAGGAAAATTCACTTTTCTAGTTCTATTTAATACTTCACTTAAATGAAAGTCAATTAATTAGAATTGATTTGATATTATAGATATCAACAAAAAAGATAATGTGATTCCTTCTAAGATCAATATCTAAATATATTGAAAAATATATAAAGCTTATAAATATATAATGTATATAGTCAAATTAGTATAGTGAACAATAAAAATTTGAAGCTTAATATTAATTAATTAGAATTTGTCATTAATGATCAAGTATCTAATCATTTGATTCCTAACTAAGTCTATTTACTTTTGAAGTGCTAGCTGGTTTACCTAGTTTAATTATCATTAATCTGCCTATATATAGATGTATATAGTATATACAAGATAATTAATAACTTAATGTCAATAAAGTCTCATATTTAATATCTAGTTGGGGGGGTTTTTTTTTTAAAAAAATATATATTATAATTATTTGTGATTTTTTAAAAGTTTGCCAATAAAAAATTTTGAAAAAATAAAAACTTTGTTAAAAATTTTATCAATTTTTTTAATCATTTTTATAATAAAAATTTTTATTTCACTAATAAAAACCAATTTTTTATCATAAATTTTATATATTCGAATTTTATACTTTGTAAGTTAATATCATGGTATTTTATAATCTTTAATTTTCCTAAAAATCTTATTTTTTAAACATCAAAAGTTTCATTTTCAAAAAGAAATCTTGATAGTTCTCTCTTCAAGTTTTAGAATGAAAAATTTTCAACAATCGAGTTTATTGAATCTTCAGTTTAAATAATAAAAGTTTGTTAACTTAATAATAATACGTCTTAACAAAATTTAGTCTATTTACATTTTACAAAATTATTCGGGAAAATCACTTCAAACTAATTTACAAAAATTATTGCCGGGGCTGTTATGATGTATAGACAGAACAAATTTATTTTATCCTGTTAACCTTGAATTTCCAAAATTAAATAAATAACACTTTTCTACAGACGCGTCCCTCTAAATAATTTAGTCTTGAAGACATGTTAGTAATAACAACGAGAAATTCTTCAAATCTTAATTTCAACAGGCACAATATTTCTATCGCTGTATATGTACGCGCTAAATTCTCCAGATATGTCTTTGTTCCATGTTGAGAAAACGATAATGTAGCCTGCAAAAGAATCAATCAAATTTTGAAGTTGAGTGAACATTAGAGCAAAAAAAAAAAAACGAATGATTTTTCAACAGGTAAAATTACCCTCTTTATTGGGTGCCAACGAAACATCATCCATGAACACACCCTACAACGCGAACCAATAATGAATGTTAGGTCACACGAATAAGCCGAATAATTTGAGAAGAAAAACATAACACTTACTTGAGGGTAATTCGTATAAGCTCCGGAACTCCCAACCTCCCTACCCAACATTTTAGTCGGGTGCTTTTCGAATATCCTGACGTTAACCATCGGTGTTGGCTTTATCATCGGTGTTTGTAGTCGAATTCTGTAAGATATAAGTCGAGAATTAAGAATTTATGAATGATTTCGCGAGTCTACTAAGGATTAAATTACTTTATCATGGTCATTTCTTGAATCGTTAGATGATATCTCGGATTGTATTTGTATTCTGGATTGTTTACACCGCCTTTGGCGTTCAACCCCGAGATCCTATGAAATCAATCCTGAATCAGAAAACACGGGTTTCTAAACAAACAACTGGAAAAAAAAACCGGACAACCTACCATTCTCCTTGAATCGTCCTTTTAAACAACCCCTATTGATCACGAAAAGAATTACATCTAAGATTTCGTTTATAAGATGGAATAGATAAAACAAAAAATTGTTAACATACCGCACCCTCCGGTGGTAAGGGAGTCACTTTAAATGTAATATTTGATGCCACGGTTAACGTGAAATCGCCGATCATATCAGGATCATATGTGGATACTACTATCGTATAATCACCCACTAAATAATAAAATAAGTCAATATAGAGAAATAAATACGACACGTTGATTTTTGTGTCGTTCATTTGATTTGTTTTTTTCTTTCTTTTTTTTTTTTTTTACATCGTATATCGTCAACCTCGCAGTAACAAAGTCTGCACCGATATCCATCAGAAACCACAATATCTTTAGGAGTTATGCTAGAAAGAAGTTAACGTTAGAAACATAATGAGTAGAATCAATTTGGAATGTCAAATTTTTTCAAAATGTACCTAGAAATTCTTTTTCCTTTGCTCCGAACCAATGCAACATTCATTGAAAACGTTCGCGGTCCTTCAAGCATGAGCATCACGCGCGCTGTATCCAATGATGATGTAGTATCTTTCGATAGTGACAAGCGATATTGTGGATTATTGAGATAGGAAACGTAATGTGAGTTTCCCCCGGCCGTTAACTTTGTCCATTCGCCAGGTATCTAAAAGTGAATAGTTAGTTAGGTACCACGTTAGAGGCTAGTATGAGAGTTGCAAAAAATTCAGGCAACAACACTCACTCGAGATTCGATTGGGTATTTTGAGGGTATTTTGTTCATAATAATAGGCGACATGCAATAAGATTTAAGCGTAAACGTTAGAGATTTTTCCTTTTTATACTGGTCTACCACCACGGTATAGAGGCTTCTCCCCGGTGGCGCATTAAATCGAACCTGTAAAGTTTTCAAGGAATTGATAGGTATCTTTGCAATTTGGGGGAGAAGAAATGGACACCCTTACCGAAACCTGAGGACTATTCACAAATGCTCCCTGATATATGTAACACAAAAAAGGTTCATAATTAGATCACAGGGCTATGCTCTGAATCAGGGGGATTAAGTCTTACCGTTCTGAATGCTTTGCTGGGGTAATAAACCCTTTCTCCATTCGTCCCATCATATACATATAGCGTTATAAATTCTTTACTCTCCTCTGTAGAGGTGATATGTCTAGACAACACGATTCTTACTGCTGATGGTTCGTCACTTTTGTTCATAACTTCCAGACAATATTGTGGTTTATATCCTAATACAACAAAATTAACAAGAATATGAAATCATTGCAATATACAAACGAATTACAGAATGTACGAGTATACCTAAATGCAAAGTATCCTTATTTTCCGAGGGACTTGCAGGCCACGATCTAAGAGTCAATAAATTAATAGTGAATGAAGATATTGAATAAATTATTTAGTATGCAACTTACGCGTGCAAGGTGTGATTATGCGGGAAAAGTTTTGGATTCCAACTCATGTAAATTGAGGCGAAGCTCTTACATACGGAATCAAAATCAATCCAAAAGATACCTAAAGAACAAAGTAGACAGACTGAACTTTCAGAATCATATTTCCTAAGTGCATAATTATAGCGGAGGAAAGAATTCTACCATCGTCATTAAGAGCGGCTTTTTCCCGATCGTAACCTAGTTCGCGCATTAATTCGGGCGTCCAATTCGATTCATCCAAATGACTATAAGGGCCAGTCCATCTCTTATGGCTCCATGGATTTTTAACCTTTTTACCACAAATCCTTTGGAATTTTATTAGCTTGCGCTATTTTCCGATCAAAAATGGAGATTTAAAAGTGTAATACCCGTAATAATCGTAATCCTATCACCTCTCGAGCATCTGAAATCCGAAATGCGAAGTCAGTCATAAAATATTTCAGTTAACCGACTGATAACAAGATATAGGCTTTACCTAATACGGCATACGCGTGAGTTTGGACAAGCCCGATAGCATCGGCTTTATCATCGCTCATTTCACCAGTCGAAATTGTTATCAGGGCATCACCTAAGCAGAGAAAGAACGATGAATAATATAGATAAAAAATGTGATTGGAATATTTGCAGCCATCTCTTTACCATATCTCTGTCCATCCAGAAGACGATTCCACGTCTTCTCTTTGTTGAAATCTTCACTTATTACACGTATACATTAATTTATTTATTTGAACATGTTAATTTAGTTACTTCAACAAAGGAAAAGGTATCGGCTATTTTAGAACAAATAATCGGAACATACTCATCGATCAAAATATGTTCAGGAATCCATCCAGTAAGTGCACTAATAAAAGTGTGTCGCATTAATTACGCGCGTTCCGCTAATATCATGAATCGACAAGTCAACAGTTATCTTACTAAAGATCGATGCTGGAATTCCTATAGTAGAGGGAAATCAGCATTAAACCTAAATCCTCAAAGATATTAGAATAACTCGATATTAACATAATGACACTCACGATCCTGGAAAGTCATATCCATCCATCAGTTTCATATACTGGGCATCATAAAACCACAAAAAAAAAATAACAAGAATAAAAATAATGAAGAAACGAAAAAGAAAGGCACCGAGTTAAATGCTTTAATTTCGAATGTATATTAATAAAGATAATGCGCACGGCTTTCTCAATTATACTTGGCCAAATTTCATCTTTATTAGTCGAAAATGTGCACATCAAATTCCCATCACGTGAAACTGGGAATAAGTCATCAACCACTGTGTTTTCGAAGATAGAAATTTGTTTAGACCGAGCAGAATATATCCCCCCTCATTCTTTTTCGCGTTAAAAAGGAAACCTATCTGAAGGAAGACATTGTACCAATTTCACTTACCAACCTAATTTTATATAATATATTGGACAAAGTCACGTATATATAAATAATAAACAATTACAAAAGCATACATTCATAACTCGAATCTACCTACTTTTCTAATAACACCATTACACGTAAGTTTAATCATGTATTTTCCACACGGGTTATATACCGGATGCCCAAATTCGTTTTGCGGGAAAATGCAAGACGTAATCAACTATTATGATAAAAAATTTCAGTTTAAGCAAATAAAGCAAAACGATCTCCCATCTATATGCAAACCGATTTTTTGAATTTTCGCTGATATTCTGCGCAGACGCAAAGTGAAGCAACAAACGAGCAATCCGTTACAACATCCTACGTCACATAAAATAAATTGCGTTAACGTAAAGAATAATAATTTAAAGCATCAATCAATTCTATAAAACTCTTACAACCTGTTGAATAGATGCGCTAGAGATGATCGCAACCATCTTCGGATCTTTCATAATTTTAGATAGACGCTGCCAAGAATTAAAATTTTCACTTTGTTGAACGGATAGAGACAAGTTCCCATCCGGATCTCTACAGTTTAATTTGTGAAGTGGTTTGAGCAATAACACGATTGATTGTTAGGACACGTGCAATCAAGCAACGTACATGAAGGGCTTATCATATTTGAAATTTTCTTGTAGATCAATTTCCGACCAGGGTAGAAAGATCTTGTTATTAATATATGATGAATTTTTAATAATCTCTATTTCTTCTGTGGTGAGTTTCAAATTTGGAGACAATATGGAGGGAGGTTTTCCAGGATTAGCAGAGCGCACAGCTAATTAAAGATCGGTGTGATAAGAATTCAACGTGATAATCGCGAAAACTGAGGGTTATATATATCGGGCGACATACTCAGTGTCTGCCTTGGCTTAGTTGGTAGTCCTTTCAAACCCTCTGCAAGATCAAGCAACTCTCTGATCTTGTTATCAAGTTTAGACTTGAGTGATTCGTCTTGTGCGTCTAACAAATAAATAAGGTTGGTATGATCCTTCGATCTTCAAATTTTCGAATTGAGTGGTGAATATTGTTTGTTTGATGAACCTTTTTTTGCTTCCATGAACAATTCCACCGCATTGACATATAATCTCAAAGCTTCTTCTTCGTTTTTTTGATTTTCCTGAAAAATAGCCTGATCAAGTATTGACTATAGTTGTTCGCAAAAAAAAAAAAAAAAAAAAAAAAATCCCATTTTTAGATAAACAAAAGAAATCAAACTGGTAAAACCAGTCTAAGTAATTACTGAAGATGAGCCAAAAAATAATAATAATAACAATAATAATAAAGTAGAAATAAATAGAAAAGAACCTGAGCTCTGTTCAAGACCGATCCCGAAGATGATAAAGGTAGTCTTGCAGTGACATTGTTATTAGTCCTAGGTAATGGACTTACACTAGATCTGAGTTCGTTATCCAATTGTCGTGCCCGAATACTATACTCTTGGCCTTTTGCCCAGACAGAATTTTTTTGCTTCTGATCCGATTCCACTATTAAACGTGTGACAATACAATGAGAACTTTTGATATCGCCTTTTTTAGCTTTAAACGATAAATACTTACGTCGAAGTATGGTTTCAAAAATCTATTTAAGAATTGCATTTTGACGCGTAAAATGGATAAAAGATCATTTACTTAAAACCCTAATGGTTGCCGATAAAACCTTAAAAATCTTACTTTTATCACTTCCAAATAAGAATTCCTTGCCACCTCTTTGTTCCCTCTCTGATCCTCTTTAACGGCAACTTCAGAAGTACGAAATGCTTGCTGATACAATGCGGGGAGGTTGTTCTTGCTTCCACGAAAATCATCCATTCTCAACGCAACTTTCAATAAATAAACCAAATTTAGTATAAAGATTCATTCACTCCTGCACAATTCGTATTTTAATCAAAGATCCTGTGTCACAAAGATATCCGTAATTATGGGTTTCACAAATGGTGCTTTTAAAAATCGGGAAAATTTCTAAAAAAAAACAAACAAACAAGGATATGCCTTTTTCATACCATAGTCACTCGGGACAATTCTGCGAGCATGCAAAAGGAACACTTGAGGAAGTTGTTCAAGAGGCCATCAGGAGGAATTTCTTAATTTACGGATTGTCGGAGCATTGTCCTAGATACAGGGTTCAGGATTTGTATCCTGAGGAGGTAATTACGCGTTCTTCTCTTTCGTCACTGTGAAGCTTGAAATTAACAAACTTGGAATGTCGCATGCAAAATTTTCCCATTTCTTATTTCAATCCCTTTCCCTGACTCGACCGGGGGCTTTTATTACCTTCTTGATGGGGTCCTTTCCCCCTCCTCCCTCCCCCCTCCCCCCCCCCCAGCCCCCCCCCCCC